GTCTCTAGACCACTTTTTAAGTGTGTCTCTCATGGTTGTATTATTTCGACTGTCCGGTTGTTCTCCGGTTTTATTTATAGAATTTATCGTTTGGGAAAAAAAAAACAAGTAGAAATACAACAACCTACACCAGAAAGCAGTGTGCACTCGAGCAAAGTATCAACTTTTTTTTATTGAAAATATATGATTTCTACTTGCACGTCAGAAGACCTGTAAACAGACATACTTAAAAAATAAAATAAAATAAAAAAAAAAAAAGTCAAAAATGATAATCTGCTGGACCTTCTGTATCTGTTCAGTGATAGAAATAATATACTTCAACCCAGTTCAGGCGGTATTTTTTCAATCACATCCCATACTTCTTTTCCTGGCCTATTTATAAGAGCTGCTATAAAAAGCCGTCAATAATCTCACAAATAGACACAAACGTAGGCCAAACCAGACAAATATACAGTCATGCCTATCATTGCATTAAGTACTGCCCACCAGACACTGCACCATTGCAGTTTTTTTAAAATAGTTAAAACAAGGTCTCGATGTCGTGGCAAAAGGAATATCAAATTCTCCAAGCGGCAACTTAACTCGCTGCTGTTAAAGACTTTTTTTTTTCCCTTCCCCACAATTTATCCAAGAAATTCTGTTAGCGAGCTGAGTAGGGAACCCCATTTTTTCTCAAATTTCTTCAAACCCTAAAGTCTTATCTTCGTCAGGATGTGTAGAAGTTGGCGCATTTGCTCAAACTCCTTTTGCCCAATTATACCAACAGGTCCCCAAGTTAACATCTTTTTTTTAACAGTCAAATCATATGGTCAAGCATGGATGGTGCTTCTTCAGTAAGCCTTTTAAGACCAGCAGCAGATAAGCCGATCATCTCAAAAGGCAAAAGGGGGAAAGATGATCACCAGGCGCTATGGATCTCGCTTTCCCAACACACCCAAAGCAGCATTTTGCTTATTATTTAGATTGCTATTATGTTGCAAAATATCCCGAGATTTATCACTAGACGGATCAAAATCATCCGATGGATTTTCTGGTCCTAGCCTTAATGTCCGATGACTTCCGTTCCTGCTGACGCTTGTTACATTCAACTTTTCCTCGTCTTCTGATGGCGTTCCAGACCGTGATTCCAATTGCTGATCATGTGATCTATATCTTTGCCCAGGTCTCAACCCCCTTGCACCAGAAATCTTTGGAAACGTACCATAAGTAGATGACTCGGGAACAAAGTCTTTCGGCACGGAATCCATGTCCAAATAACAGTTTCTTGCCTTAGCATCAGCAATCAATGCAGCCCAGTCTTCAGATTGGACTAGAGCATTTGCATTTCCCATGACCTAAGACAAATAATAATTCAAACAGAATATAGATAGATGTAATATTAACTGAGGTGTTATAAAAAGTCAGGCATAAATATAATATATATTATACAGGAAAATTAAAGAATGTAAGTCCTCACCCAGAGAGCTCTTCTGGCACGAGTAAGAGCAACATTCATCCTACGAATATCGGCAACAAACCCAACCCCATGATTGGATGCACGCACACACGACATTATTATCACATCTCGTTCCTGGCCCTGGAAAGCATCAACCGTGTTAATATAGATGTCTTTCCCTTGGTCGGAATTCAAAACATCCTTGAACTCCCGTTGCAGGCATTTCAACTGCAGCTTGTACGGCGTGATTATCCCAACAGACACTTTCCCAACCCCATTTGACTTGACTGTCCTCTGGAGGTGCTCGAACAAACGTACACAAAACTGTGCCTCCTGTGTATTCTGGAACGAGACAGAACCCCCGCGGTGAGATTCGCGACCGTAGGTAATATCATAAAAGACATAGGGCCTGAGCAGAGGATCTTTGTAATAAAGCTCGTCCGGAAGATTAACGACGCTCTCGCTGTCTGTAAGACGGCCTTGGTAGAAGTACCTTGAAGGAAAATCGCGTATATGGGGGTGCATCCTGTACTGCACACACAGCAGCATGGTGGGGCACCCGGCCTGCTGGAACCTCTCGAAAAGGCTTCTGCTGTATAATAAAGTCCCGGCGGCCTTACTAATGACAGTGGCTGGGAGCTGCTGTGGATCCCCAACAAGGACGCAACGGGCAGCACCAAGAGAAAGCGGAGGAAGCACGGCCACCTCACTGGCCTGAGCCGCCTCGTCTATCACAACCATGTCGAAGCCGTGAGTGAGACGGGAGAAGAGCTTACGACCGCTGCTCGACACTGTCGTGAAAACGATTTCGGCCTCGTTCGCGAAACTCGCCTCCAGATTTGCACGAGCATCCTCCAGATTAAAGTTGGCACCTGCACGGAACCTGCCTTCCAAGATGAGCAGCCGCGACATCTCCACCAGTATCTTGTCCCTGTTCTCAACTACGGCCGCCAGGTTCTGAAGCAACGCATCTCGGTTCTGGTCCCTGGCCATGAGAACATCTGGGTCCACACCCACCGACCCCTGAGCACGTCCGCTCAAGGCAGCAACATTCAGCTCTCTCTGAAGGCAAGCAATTTGCTGGGCCAATTGGTTCTCGCGCATTCTCAGGCTGTGCATCCACCCGTGAACTTCATCACGGCTCTTCATAAGAAGCTGCTCCGTCCTTCGTTCTACAGACACCGCCTGTGCTGCCCTGCTCTGGGAATCCACGCCCACCCGAGCAACATCCGGCCGGTAAACCTTCATCTCCCCATCGATAAATCCACGGTCGAGAACACGCGCTAGCAGCTCGTCAGTTGCCGCGTTCGAGGGAGCACAAACCAGCATCCTCGGCTTCGGGCACAGCTTCGGAAGGGTTCGGAATAGATTCTGATCCATGCTCTGGAGGACCTCATCAATTGACCCAACAGCCACATTATCCAACGAAGAAGAGTTCTCATTGTTGGCCTGCTTGTAGGTTTCGGGTGCCAGTTTCTTTAGCAGTGCAGTGTAGTAGTGCTGATACTGGACGAGATGGATCACATTAAGCATTCCCCAAACTGTGTGGGTCTTGCCAGTCCCGGGAGGCCCCTGAACTAGGGTGAAAGGCCATGGGTCTTGCTTCTTCGTCGCCCCATTCGATGTACCAGCGGCTGTATGCATAGCCGCCCATTGGATTGCTGCTAGCTGAGGTCCGTTGAAAGTCCTGTGAAGATACTCAACAAAGTTTGGAGTAAAACACTCGGGCATTGCAGGAGGCTGTTCTTCGTATTTTGGGAACTGATCAGGACTAGGCTGCAGAATCGCATTTTGCATCTGCAAGAGGATAATAATAGGTCAAATGATCATCAGGCATACATAAAATCATCCAACAACTGATGAGGCATGTTTATTATCAGCTCTGGGGACATATTCTCTAACTCAACCTGTAAGTTAAGACGACGGAAAGCATGCAAAGCGACATATTCTCGCTGTGTGGTAGCAAGAGAACCAAGCAGAGTTAGGTACCAGACGCCCCCTGGTTGAAGCTTCCGCAGAATATGGTCATCACCAATCTTGCTATAGTTTAAACAAACAAAAAGAAAAATATAATGATAAATCTGCACAAAAATCAAGACAGAAGAAATCGGGCAACAGCCATAGACTAAATACCTTGAACTAATAGCGAGGAAGGGCATAAAATCACAGTGCGATTTACCTGCTGGAATCGTATACATCCCCAACATAAAAGTGAAGGATTGCCCCAGTATGCTCTCGTGTATCAATGGGTATATGCCTCCTCACTGTCCCAGCAACACGTCCCGTAACTTCTGACTTCTCATCATCTCTAGCCGAGGAACTGCCCCTCCATATATTGGCTGCATAGCATCACTAACGAATTATGTTAATATATGGCTGACACCAAAACATTCCTAATCAGAGCATAAAAGCAAGGAGGGGGCAGGGATAAAAAAAAAAACAAATACTATCAAAGTATTTGTGACCTGTTCCAGGCTTAGGGGATGAAAGAACTGCAACATCTCCTTCTTTAAAATTCCATTTGTATTCATGCGGTGGAATTAGTATCACATCGAACCATCCTAGGGATGCAACCCAAGTAAGGAAACAGAAAAGTAGCAGAAGAGAAAAAAAATCCCATGGTCTAGTTATCTAATTTCAAAAGTATGTAAAAAATGTAATCAAAACAGGAAACACATATTAGGAGCAGGAACAAAAATAATATTTTACACCAGCAGAACAAAATATGAAGAAATTATCTTAGTAAGAAGAAAGGCAGTCTAGCTGTAAGAGACTCTGCCCACCACAACGAGAGATGGCCTCACAGAAAAAGCATGGACATCAAACTGAAATCGGACAAAAACATGAAGTCTCCCTCTGTGACTGGATACGAAAGGATTAAATAGCTTCCCTATTTTATCATCTTTTTTTAGGAGAAAAGAGTAATTTGTCTCTTGGTATTCATGAACATACTGAATGGATATATTACATTAAGTTAGTGCACAATCAGCTCCAAGATAACATTCTTATAGAAAGGATTCTAGCAAGTCGCTGGAGAGAACATTGCACTCAGGCCGCCTCAATTGTAACACTGAGTATTTCAGGTTAAGCACCTAACGGCCATGCCATCTATAATACATCACCAACTGCAGCAAATACAGTAACTGCAACCAGATGCAAACCTTATTTTTGTGTGCATTGCATCACAAGTAAGATACTCACTACTCAACAACATGTAACTAAAAGAAATAAATACTACCATGCTCTGCAGCCAGAAAACTTCTAGACACCCAACAACGTGTAAACTTATTCTTGTTCTATCCCGTAACATATTCAAAGTCAAAAACAGAAACCAATATGAAATAGATAACAAAACATCACACTTTTGAAGATTTATGGGGAGCAGATATCAGGAATCAGGATAGTAAAATTCCCAACTCAGATTAAGATATCAAACAGACAATACAAATAGGAGCCTCGAGATTGAAGCTTCTACGTTCTCAAATACTAAAATACAATACAGGAAAACAGATCTAGTATGAAAAGTTGAAGAAACACGTTAATACCCCTTTCACGACGTTCTATGCTTTTTATTCCCACCCTAACATGACTGGAAATGGCTTCAGATGACTCCTCCCAGGTACTGTAAAGCTGTGCACGGCATTCTTCAAACAACAAAGGCTCAAATACCCTGATATACTCCTCTACTGAGTCAAAACGACCAGGAACACGTTGGAGCTCCTCCTCCTCTGTTTTTTGCAGAAATACAAGTATAAATAACTGACCGGCTAACAGCCATCATTATTCTTAAGTCTTAGCGACAAAGAGAATCATCAGATCAAAGATGCAAACAAAAATATACACTAGGAAAATGGTAGTCGCAATATGTATGTGTGGGTGGGTGCGTGAGTGGGTGGGTGGGTGGGTGAGTGCGTGTTTATAAAATTCTCAAGGTCAAGTGTCAGAAAAATGTGCAGAACAGTTCCTAACAGCTCAAAAATCTCTGTTATCAGACTATGACACATGATTAAAGGAATCTTAAATGGGTGTCAATAAAAATAAAAGTGGCAGACAAAAATATGAAACACAATTAGATTTATGAACCAAATATTTATTAATCTAAATAGTAACAGAACCAGGTCACCCTTGCTTTGCGAACCTTCTAGATTGTAAATAAGTACCAAAAGAAGATGAAGGTTCATTCGTCATAAAGCAATCACTGCTGACACAATTAGAATGCTACTATCATTTAACTAGGCGCAATCAACTTTATTTAGTAACAAAGGAATATACTGAAGCAGACATATTAGTGATACCGAAGTTGAAGATTTCTAGAGTCAAATGCAAAGCCAGAGGTCACTCAGGAGCAACATAGAATAGCAGCTTTTTAAAACCTCCAGTTATACCACAAGCATGGAACTGTATAAAGGAAAATGATTGTAGATAACTGAGATATGAGCAAATAAAAAGGATAATCAATCTCAGATTATAGTGATAGGTAAGTAGAAAAATAGATCCACGTGAATATTTTAAGAGAACGACCTATATGGAAAAGTTCAGAAATGAACAGTGTAACACTAAAATTACGAATCTAATAGGATCGTGCAAGCAAAAGGAGGAACACAAGAATACTGCTGAAAGAAATCACTGCACTCCCAGTGTCGTATAAAATGCAAAACAAACTAATCCACAAGCTTATTAAAAACTGAATATTAGGGAGGGATAAAAGTTTGACATTAACCATAAATAGCCGCATAAAATTCCAAATCCAAGACGAAGCCTAAGTGAGAACAAAAAAAAAAGAAGAATACTACTTATTCCACATACTCCAACAGAAAACATCTCAAAGAAGCAGAAAAAAAGTTCACTAAATAACATTCATTAAGCAAATAACAAGTAGACAACATAAGTGAATTTGAAATTGTTCTTCTGATGTGTGCATATTCTTCTGAAAATAACATAGCACCGCCTTAAAAGGATGTTCACAAGGTAACAAGAATTTTCATGGTGTAAAATTAATTAGAATAGAATTCTACAAAAGCAACCTACTCCTGACTACTTTTTTGAGAAGAAAACTTACAATGAAGTAAAAATTCAAACGTTAAAACATTTTGAAACTACAGTCTATGTACCATTTTTCAAACATAAGACAAACTTAATTCTACGAGTAGAAGAAAATGGGAAAAATTAGAGACACGGAAAGAACAAATAATGCACAACTCAACTACAAAACAAACAGAAGATGAAGCACTTAGGAGATTTAATTCTTTGGTACCTGGATGATGCCAGAACTTCTCATTTGTCACCTCACGCAGGAGACGCTCCACTGATGAATCTTGATATGGATTGTTAGCTATAGCTTGCTTCTTGGATGGTATTTTTTTCGTGGCTAACTTAGGGTCGGTCGAACTCTGACTGCTAACAGCTGGCCTCCTACCAGAAAATTGTGAATTCTTAAGAGGCCTTGTATCGGTTGGGAGCTTCCATGAACTTTGTCTAGGAACAGGTGGTGCTTGTCCTTCGGAAGAAACATCCATCAAGCTATTCAACCTTCTGAAAGGACCCGAAGGCCCAGAGCTGTTGTCACCAATGCTCTCGGACTTACACTCATTAGACTCCAAATTATATTCTTCACTGCTGGGTAGATCGACCTGCTTTGGATCCCTACTTACAACAGGCTGCAGAGTTTGCTTATCTCCGGATTCTGTAGTGGGACGAGCTTCTTTAACAGTCCGGGTTACAGTGGGAGCAGGAATCTGCCTTTTGGGAGTTGAAGACTTCAAAGCACCAGCTTGCTTAACGTCTTCTAAATTGAGAAACACGGTCCGCCTACTCCGCTTCTTCCCCAGCATTGCTTCCTTTTGCTGGTCAAACTTAGGACGCTTATTTGCACACTTTAATGCATGATTAGCTTCAATTCCTTTAACTTCCCTTTGCTTTGGCACTGGAGCCACATCTTCCTCGCAATCGGCAGTTATATCAGCTTTCTTGTCACTTGTTTCTGGAATAAGGCTATCATTGTCATTCTTCGCATCACCAACAACACTTTCCATCATCTCATCCATGCGTTTCTCAAGCAACGGTTTATCACTTGAAACTTCCTGAACACCACCCCCATTTATTATACCATTGTCGTCTTCTGAGCCCTCCACATCAGACCATTCACCTTCTTCCTTCTCAATGACCAAAGGAGCATCAACAGGACCAGATTGCAGGCTTGAGGCATCTTTCGTATCTTGAGCATCACCTGCTTTGGGTGACGAGTGAGAATCGGAAAGCATCTTCTTTTCAGGAGCAGAAGTACCAGATCCCTGAACAATGTTTGACCTCACAAAAGGTTGGAAACCAGATACAGAAGAAGCATGGGAGAAAGCATGATTATTTACTATCCCTTGGGGACCAGCAGCTGCCACAAATAAATCAGCTGCCGGAGTACTTGCTGAAGGAATGGCCCTCTTAGGCTGGAAGGAAACAACACCAGCATTATCATCTTCATTCTCTATAGGGGGTTCATTAAGATCAAATAGCACCCTTCCTTTGGAGCCCATTTTCCAAGCAGTTGCATAAAAAAAGAAAAAGAAAAAAAGGCTGGGAAGCACGGACACTGCTCACTAGAGTACCCGTACCAGGTACGGACGCAAGAATACGTATTGAGACATACCTCAAAGATGTCCTAAAAGAATTATGGAAAGAAAACAAGAATTAAAAAATTCTACAAGACACAAGAATCGCCAATCGTGCGCGCAAATAACTCTAATCAAATCGATCAGGGAAACAAGAAAAAGATGAAAAGACCTATCCCAGGCGATATCAATTCTCAATAAGATCGAAAAAAGAACACACACCTCAAAAGCCCAGGCGACACAACTCTCAATCCAGAGAAGATTAAACAACACACATCTCACAACCCAGTGCGCTGCGCCACTCTTTGATGAATTTCCGTTGCTCCAGATAAAGGTTGTAATCAGGTTATCAGAGTTAAAACCTATAGATTAGGAAATAAAATATTTGCAGTGTGTTCGATTTTTACAGTGAATTGAGGAGATGTGTTGACGGTGGGAGAGGAAGAAAGTATGAAATAATCGTCCCAAATCAGATATTTAACGGGCTTAGCCCTAGCTGCTTGGGCTAGCCCGAAGCCCGGTCCTCACACAAAAGCCCCGATTATTGTGGGCTATAGCCTATAATACCTACCGTAGTCTTGACGTTTTCCTACTAGTATAATATAATAATTATATAAGTTTTTAAAATTATAATTTAAATGTGAAATTTTCAATTTAGAAGTTGCAACAGCCCAGTCAACCCGTAGTAAGATATTGTACGTTTTGGGTATACACCAGATCATTCCCTCACGGTTTTGCCTTTGGGAGCTAGCTCACCAAAACGCGTCCTACTAGTGAAGGTATCACAGCCACTTATAAGGCATGCTTCGTTCTCCTTGACGACAGATGTGGGATATCTGAATCCACCCCCTTGGAGGGCCCAGCGTCCTCGCTGGCACATCGATCCGGGTACTGGCTCTGATACCACTAATTCAGATATCCCACATCGGTCGTGAAGGAGAACGAAGCATGCTTTATAAGTGGTTGTGGATACCTTCACTAGTAGGACGCGTTTTGGTGAGTTATCTCCCAAAGGCAAAACCGTGAGGGAATGATCTGGTGTATACCCAAAACGTACAATATCTTACTACGGGTTGACTGGACTGTTACAGTGGTATCAGAGCCAGTACCCAGATCGATGTGCCAGCGAGGACGCTGGGCCCTCCAAGGGGGGTGGATTCAGATATCCCACATCGGTCGTGAAGGAGAACGAAGCATGCCTTATAAGTGGCTGTGGATACCTTCACTAGTAGGACGCGTTTTGGTGAGCTAGCTCCCAAAGGCAAAACCGTGAGGGAATGATCTGGTGTATACCCAAAGCGGACAATATCTTACTACAGGTTGACTGGGCTGTTACAAAAGTTATAATAAATATAAAAATTTATTAACTTTTAAAATATATTTATAATTTCAGTTTATGTGTTTTTTAATTTTTAAAGTATAAGTAGATCTACATGGACTATTTCGAAGCAAGAAAAATTGGTTTAAAAGATTACAAAACAACAAGGAAGGATTGTTTCAACTAGTTTTATTTGGTTTATTTTTATAACTATGGTTAATTTTGAAAAAAAATATGGTATGGTTAGTTGTTAGTGGATATATTAAAATAATATTTAAATAAAATTATTAAAGTTGATTTGATGTAAAGTAGGATAAAAATGATTGGCAGTGATGGTTAGCTAAAATTATGTGAGTGGATAAATATTAAATTAAAGTTGATATGATATTTAAGAATGATTGGTTGATATTATTTAATTATATTGATAATATTGAGGATAGTGGGGTTGAGTTAGAGTTGAGTTATATTTGAGTTTTGATTGGTTTTTTTTAGTTGAGTTGGTAAACAATCACCCCCCAAGTCTTCCATAGAATGCTTAAGGTCTGAACTATTTTCGACTCAAAAACTTCTTGCTGAACGGAACAAGGAAATCTTGTAGCTGAAAACTGAAGTTAGTCGATTCATGAACGAACATACAAGCATGCAAAGCAAACTGAGGGCAAACTCAGCAGAGCTGGAACGTACTGCCGAGGCGGTTCGGAAACTGAACAAAGGAAAAACTGATCTAAATGAACTTCTCTCCATGGGAAGGCAACATGGTGACCTTACCGGACAAGGGTACACTGGCAAGGTGGATAATCCTGATCTTCCCTCCGAAGCTTCAACCAAAACCAAACATCCAGGTCTTGGGTTCTCAGACAAGTCTGGTGTCGAAGGTACAAGTCTTCATGGAAAACCATCTCAGAACTTGTATGGTAGGTCTGTAAAAAGCATTGTAAGTAAAACCTCTTTGCCTAAACACTATGTGAAGGTTCATGCACCAGCGCATGAATCTGTGAGTAAATTCCCTCATAATTTTGTTCCCCTTTGTCATTACTGTAGAATAACTGGTCACATCAGATCCAAATGCTATAAAATGCAGCATGACCTATATTCTGGCAAAGTGTTTGACTGGAGTCGCTCCGGTGTACCAATGAACGTTCGTACAGTGAATTCCCATAAAACTTCTTTTAAAAACCGATAAGTTTGAATTGCAAAAAAAATTCTTTTAAATGTTTTGCTTCAGTATTATCTCTCAGAACATCACTTGAAGGGAAATGGTATCTTAATAGTGGGTGTTCAAGGCATATGACTGGTGAACCAACATACTTGGTGAATATCAAAATTGGTTCAAATGGGGAAGTCACATATGGGGATATCGCGAGCAATAAAGTAATTGGAACAAACTGTTTGAACTTGGGTGGTTTACCTAGATTATATGATGTGTTACTTGTGGATGATTTAAAGGCTAATCTCCTGAGTGCGAGTCAATTTTGTGACCAAGGTCTTAGTGTCAGTTTCTCTCGTGATAAGTGTTATGTGGAGAGCAATGAAGGTACATGTGTGATTTACTGGATCACGATCAACTGACAATTGCTATCTTGTTGACTTTAATAAAGAATGTTTTCAAGCAACTGTTGGTGAATCTGAAATCTGGCATCAACGCTTAGGTCATATTGCATACTCTCACTTGGTCAATTGTCTAATGCATGTGTGGTCTGCGGGGTTCCCAAAATCACTATGAATGAACATCCGATTTATGAACCTTGTCAACTAGGTAAGCAAACTCGGGCATCTCATAAAGTACTGAACCACATTGCATCAAAGCAAATTCTGTAATTGCTTCACATGGACCTGATGGGTCCCATACAAGTTTATCATGGTAAAAAGTATATTTTTGTGTGTGTAGATGATTTCTCACGATATACATGGGTTGATTTCTTGCATGAGAAATCTGACACCTTCTCTGCTTTTAAGTCAATTTGTCTGAATCTTCAAAATGAAAAAGGTTTTTCCATAATCAGTATTCAAAGTGATCATGGGCGAGATTTTGAAAATTTTGAGTTTGCAAATTTTTGTGATTCACGGGTTATCCTTCATGAGTTTTCTGCTCCTAAGATTCCACAGCAGAATGGAGTTGTTGAGAGGAAGAATCGCACTCTTCAAGAAATGGACAGGGTGATGTTGAACTCCAAGAAAATTTTTCATTGATGGTGGGCAGAGGCAATTAGCACTGCATGTTATCTCGTGAATAGAGTGTACCTTCGTCGAGGTATGGGCCTGACATCGTATGAGCTCTGGAAAGTTAAGAGTCCTAACCTTAGTCATCTGCATGTTTTTGGGTGTAAATGCTATATTTATAATGATCGTGAACAACTTGGGAAATTTGACGTAAAATGTGATGTATGGTTCTTTCTTGAATATTCTAACAACAGTCGAGGATACCGTGTTTACAGCACATGTACCTCCACTATGATAGAATCCATGAATGTGGCTTTTGATGAGAAATCCTCCCATGTTGGTTCATCAGTGTCTTTTAATCCTTGTGAAAATGTTGTGAGTTCGCAGGATACTCAAGATGTTAACAGCCCTGTAGACTGTAAGGATACTGAACGTACAGATGAAGCTGAGGGGTCTTAAGAAATTCTGACAGACTACAATGTAGATGCTACACTTGGAAGTCCTGCACAACAAAAGCGTGATCCACCCCTGAAGGTTCAGAAAGATCATCCATCTGCATTGGTGATTGGTGATCTCAATGAACTCATTGGTGTCTCTCACTTTGCGTGCTACACCTCGTTGATTGAACCAAAGAACGCTAAAGAAGCATTGAAGGATGAATGCTGGATCTCAACTATGCAAGAAGAACTGGAGCAGTTCACTAGGAATGACGTTTGGGAGCTAGTTCATGAACCTTCATCTGGAAATGTTATCGGAACAAAATGGATCTTCAAGACACAAAACGATGAGTTCGGGAATGTGACACGCAACAAGGCGAGATTAGTTGCACAAGGCTACACTCAGACTCAAGGGATTGACTTTGATGAAACCTTCGCCCATATCGCAAGACTTAAATCGGTACGTATATTTTTATCCATTGCATGTCTAATGAAGTTCATTATCTATCAGATGGATGTGAAGTCAGCCTTTATAAATGGTATTCTGCATGAAGAAGCCTAAGTCAAGCATCCTGAAGGGTTCAAGGATCCCAGAAATCCTAATCATGTTTACAGACTCAAGAAGGCCCTGTACGGACTAAAGCAAGCACTTCGTGCGTGGTATGAACATCTGACCATGTACCTTCTAAAAAAGAATTCAAGAGAGGGGGAGTAGACCAGACATTCTTTGCTCTCCGAACAAATGAAAACCTGTTGGCAGTTCAAACCTATGTGGACGACATCATTTTTGGGTCAACTTCCAAGAAGCTGGTCAATCACTTTGTTAAACTAATGTCGTCTGAATTTGAGATGAGTCTGGTAGGTGAACTTTCATACTTCCTTGGGCTTTAGGTAAAACAAGGTAAACATGGTATCTTCTTGCATCAAAGCAAATATGCAAAAACACTTGTTAAAAAGTTTGGTTTTGAAAATGCTAAAAATCCTCAAAATCCCATGGGCACTCATGTGAA